AGCCCTACTAATTGCGTGATCAGAGCCCATAAAATAACTTCAAGTTTTTGACCTTATATACCTGTATACACAAATACAAATTTATATATGCACACATATATACATATATGTATGTGTGTGTAACATTCATCTCTTTATTTTCAAAAACACTGTGAAACAATAATTTACAAACAGTGTTATGGATTTATAGAGGCTAAATATGTAATTTCTATGATAATAGTACAAAGGAGAGAGAATAGAAGTGCATATTGGAGCAAACTTCTTGCATCCATTGACTAAAAGAATTGATGCAAGCTGTTTTAATTTAAATGTTATTTTTAATCCCTAGGGGATCTACTGAGAAAGCAATATTTAAAATCTTGTAAAAGATGTAAGAAAATTAAAGTTGTAAAATAAAAATAAACAAAGCAGATTAAATATTAGGTCATAATGAGATTCTATTTACATGCAAAAAGATTGAAGTTAAATAATATTCTTTGATCAGAATACAACTAAATTAGTATTCAAACATAAGTAAATTTCAATATTCTAAATTCATTCAAATTTAAGAGTACGCTCCCATTTAACCTTAAAAAATCATGAGCTTCATTAGAAAATATGTTAAAAAACAAAAGCAAAATACTTCAAAACTTATGATATAAAATTAAGCAGTGCTTAGATAAAATGCTTGCATTAATAAATACCAATGAACTCCCACTTGTAAAAAGAGCTAGAAGGACAGCAACTAAAATTAATTATCAGAAAAAAGAAGTGATAATGATTGGAAATAATAAAGTACAAGATATAATATCAATGAAACTAAAAGTTCCTTACAAATATGTATTTCTAAAGCAGAACTAACAAAGAAGAAAGCTGTAGACTGAAATTAATAAAGTCACAATTAAAGAGGAGACATCAGCCCTAAACCTGTAGATACAAAGAGTATCATAGAATAATACTATGTACAACTGTATATCAACAAATAAAGTTGAGTAACTGAAATGGAAAAATTCCAAGGAAGATATATTGTTACAAAATTGACTCTAAAAAGGAACAGAAGCTGGGCACTAATGGCTCACACCTGTAAACCTATCTAGTCATTAAGTTGAGACCTGAGGATCACAGTTTGAAGCCAGCATAGGCAGGAAAGTCAGTGACACTCTTATTTTCAATTAACCATCAAAGCCAGAAGTAGGCTGTGACTTAAGTGGTAGAGCCAGCCCTAACCTTGAACACAAAAGGAACAGTATGTAGGCTCAGAGTTCAAGTCCCAGGACTGGTGTGCACACATGCACTCTAAACAAACACATACATGCACACACAGAGAGAACAATAGAAAGACAACTAATATCACTGGGAAATGGAATATAGAACTCCAAGGCTGTGTGATAAAGAATTCATGAACTAGCAAACATTATCAGAAACAAATTTCTCAGAACTCTGAAATATAGCAAAAACAATAAAAAGAAGAAGGAAAATGGAAAGAAAAAAAAGAGAGAAAGAAAGAAAAAAATTACAGCAACCAAAGAGAAACATAGCAGAAAAAAATAAGCTGATTCTCTATGGTGAGAAATTTTAAATTGTCTACTTACCATGCCCCAAATTGGCAGTAATGTGTTGATAGCAACCCACTGTCCTGTTTCTGATTGTTATTATCAGAAGTAGAGAGGTGGATGTATTTTCATAGAACTATGGTTACACCATGCCTGGTAGATCCCTCAAGGATATGCACTGTGGCTTCCATTTATTGTACCATATTGGGAGCTCTCCCAGTGCTGGAGCTGTATTGACTTCTTGATTGGCTTTTTGTCAAAGTATTTAAATCCAAAGTATTGGCCACATCTGTCTGGAACACCAGGATAGCAATAAATCAACTAAAAGCCCTGGGAAGGAAGAGTTTGGAAAAAAGACATATGTGGATGAATATCCACTTAGCAAAACTTTTGCATACTCTGGGGAATCAAGAGACAGTATAGATTGGGACTTCAGAAGACCCAAGCATTCACTTAAACTGACTTTCAAGTATACATAATAATAAACTATTTTTAAATACCACAATCCAGGCATAGTGGTACATATCTATTATCCTAGTACTCAGGAGGCTGAGGCAGGAGGATAACGATTTCACAGCCAGGTTAGGCTTCATACGGAAATCATGTCTCAAAAAAACAAACAAAAAAAAAAACCACAAAAGCAAATCAAGCTAGATGCTTGTGGCTCATGCCTGTAATCCTAGCTACTCATGAAGCTGAGATGAGATCTGAGAATTGCAATTTGAATCTAGCCTAAGCAGAAAAGTCCATGAGCATCTTACCTCCAGTTAATCAACAAAAAGCCAAATGTGGAACTATGGCTCAAAAAGTCCAAATTCAAAACTCATCTGTACAGATTAGGAGGAATTAAAGTAAGTCTGCTTAAACAGAAGATGATAAACGAATTTACAAAAGACTTCAATAACCTTATTTGGCAAAGAAAATAGATTTTTTAAAAAAAACACACACACAAAACAAGCAAACAATAACCCACAACACTGACCAGCAATGAGAGGGGCCAGGCTGATTTCAAAGGTGAATACATTATAAACAAAATATATAAATTGCAACAAAAGTTTAAGGTACGTAAAAAGGAAACAATGAGCTCTTCCAGGAAAGGAAATCAAAATTGTTCCAAACTATAAAGAGTTTGGAAATGGAAAATGACTATAATTCCAACACTCAAGAGGATCACCAGTTCAAGACAAGCCTATGTCTTATACAGAATATAAGAGGAGAAATAGAAATAGCAAGACAAAAAATAGATTCTAGGGCTGGGAAGGTGGCTCAGTGGTAGAGCGCTTGCCTTGCATGCTTGAGGCCCTGGGTTCGATTCCTCAGCACCACATAAGCAAAAAGAAAAAAGCCGGAAGTGGCACTGTGGCTCAAGTGGTAGAGTGCTAGCCTTGAGCTGAAGAGCTGAGGGACAATTCCCAGGCCCAGAGTTCAGGCCCCACAACTGGAACCCCCCCCAAAAAAAATAGATTCTACACTTGAGAATTACAATCACTGAAATGAAATACTTACTAGAGAAACACAGCACCAGAGTAGAGCAGGGGAAAAATCCATGAAATTGAAGGTAATTTAGATGAGAATATCCAACCTGAAGATCAGGGAATAAAAAGAATGTGGGAAAATGCTAACAGAGTCCAAGAGGGGGTGAGGGGAGGGCTTTACCAAGCATATTAACAAAATTCAATAGGGAAAACTGAAACAAATAAAAAGACAAGAAATATATTTAAATAATGCTGAAAATTACTCAAATTACTAATTTATATATCCAAGAAGTTCAATTGACTCCAACAGGATAAACTCAGAGATTAAAAAACAAACATGAAAGCCATGTTGCCAAAGCCAAAGATAGATTTAGATAGATAGATAGATAGATAGATAGATAGATAGATAGTATTACACTGTAAAAACTATAATACTGGCAATTTTCTTTGAGTTGGGTGATGTTTTCACAAATGTAAAAGAAAATAAAAGCCAAAAGAAGGAAACAGAAGCGAAGGAAACAAGAGTCAACCATGAGTTTTAGATTAAGGGTTATGATGAAGCTACACTTGAGATACCATTTTCTATGTTAACTGTCTGACATTCTTCGTCTATGAAAACAGGTCAATTACTGGAGGGTAAGATGCAGGTTCCAAGAGAGGCAAAAAGAAATGGCAAGAAGAAAGCTGGTGAGACCAGATAGGCTTACATAGACTTCAAGGTCCTGAAGGGTCACTCAGTGATATCCCAAAGGCAGTTGGTAAGTGAGGCATGAGATTGGAGAAAGGTAATGTGGATATACAGATGGGGGAGTCATGGATGTTTAGAAGGAAATGAAACAAGATCACTCAGGGAGAGAACAAGTATGAACTAAGGAGGAAGCTAAGGGCAGAACCCTGGGTTCCTAGGCCACTCAGTCACTATAGCCAGTCATCATAGTCATGTTATATAGGCAGAGTTCATTTTGAAAATGATTGTGGAACTTAGGAGCTGAGGGGAGTCCTAGTAAAGTTGGCTACACACCAGGTGAGAATAGAGCACCTAGAGGTAGTCTCACAGAAGATGCTGTAAGATATGCCAGTAAAGCACTTGGGGTCAGGAAATTTTCCCCTCCTCAGTGAGTCCAGTATTTCTAGCTTTAGTCCCCTCAGTTGTTCCCAGCCTTACATTTCCTACCCATGGGAGTGGGGGGAGTGTGGTGGGGAGCGACAGGTGGAGGTGATATTGAGCTCCGGTGAGGCGATGCTCATGTGACTGGCCTGGTGCCTCCGAAGACACCAGCCTTAGGTGCCCACCAACTCTAAGGTCCTATCCTATACCCCGAAACCACTTAGATACGCACCTGCTGCGCCAGCTGCTCAGGCCACTTCCAGCCCAAGGAGGCGCAGGCCTGTCCTGGTTCCCCTCAGGTTAGTGTGGAGGTGGACGCTGCCAGCTGACCTGGTCAGGGGTGGAGGTGGATGGCAGCTGGATGCAGGAGCAGCAGCTGCTGCAACCGGGTGGGGAAGGAATCAGCCAGACTGGTGAGGAGAGGGGCACTGAGCGGGCAGGGCAGCTGGGGAGGGGTGACAGGGCGGGAAGGCGAACCCTGCGGAGGCTCAGCTGCCTTGCCCACCCCCAGCCCTCCATCCATTTTAGAGTAGGCAATGGGGTGGGGGGTGCACCCCGCAGTGCGACGGTGAAAACGTAGACGCGTTCTGGAAACAACCCCCCTCCCCTCGCGCTCTGCGCCTGCCCAAGAAGACAAATTGATCCCAACCCAAAGGCAGTGGGGGCGGGGCAAGGCGCCTCTGGGGAGGGAGGGGACACAGATCCAGAGGTAGTTTGGAAAGCATCCTGGTTTGGAGCCCAGGGCCTGAGAAGAAATGGCGGCTGGGGTGCGCGGGTGGAGGCTGAGGGTGGATGGTGGGGAGCAGAGGGAAAGCTCGGTGAGCAGGGTCTGGAAAAGGAGGCACAACCTGTCCTGATCTCTGCAGGTCAGTGGAAGGGGGCAGCATGGACAGGGACTCCGGAGGGCTGAGAGTACGGAGGGCCTGGCCAGGGCAGGATGTGGGTTTCGCTGCTTGTTCCCGACCCCCACCTGTAATGCACACACCTAGCTGTACTGAGGGAGCAAGGAGAGGACAGCAGGGCCAGACAGCCTGGGAATGGTTGGCTCGTGTGGGGGAAAATGTGGGTTAGGGGCAGGTAGGAGGGCACTTGGAGACCCCCATAGGGACGAGATACACCCCTTTCCACACTGGAGGAGCCCTCACTCTTCGTGTCTCCTCTTCCCTCACCCCTACCCTCCAGGTCAGGAAAAGGAGGCGCCATCGCGACATGGAGAAACTCTAGCAAAAATGAGGGCAAGCTGGACAAGGAGGGAAAGTCAGAGGATGAAGTAGAACCTGAGGCTGAAGGGAAGTCGGAGGAAGAAGGGAATCAAGAAGAGGAGGGGAAGGCAGCACGCGAGGGCCAGCTGGAGGGTGAGGGAGGGCCAAAGGAGGAGGGCCACCCCCCGGATGAGGACAAGTCAGGGAAGCAGGGAAAGTCGCCAGAAGATGAGGGCCAGCCACCAGCGAGACGCGTGCCACGGAAAAGCTTTCAGCTGAAGATTACGTGCAAAAAGAAAAACCGACCGCGGGACCACGGATGACTCTCCCAAGAACTCTCGGGAGGACTTACAGGACAGGCATCGGAGCAGTGAGGAGATGATGAGAGAGTGTGCTGATATGTCCAGGGCTCAGGAAGAGCTAAGGAAAAAACAGAAAATGGGAGGATGTCATTGGATGCAAAGAGATGCTCAGGATGCATTCGCCCCAAGGGGCCAACGGGGTGTCAGGGGAGTGCGGGGCGGAGGGAGAGGCCAAAGAGGTTTACACTATATTCCCTACCTTTAACACCCTTGGCCTTAGATTCTGACTTCTCTGATGAGAACTTTGCACACTATGCTTTTCCTTAAGCTCACAATTTGCATTAGGTGTCACTGTCCTTACCAGCAGCCTTTTGACTCAAGTATTGTACTCACTCTTTTAGTACATGATTTTCACCCATACATGTGGAAAATATGTTCATGGTACATTATAAAGTAGCAATAAAGAAACAGTTTGCAGAACCACAGATTCAGTGTCAGCCCACTTTTGTATCTATGTAAAGATATTTGCACAAGGCATTTGTGCGGAAAGGAAATTGCAAAAATGTGTGCACTAAAGAGAAGTTAATGGATGTTCCTATTCCATGACCAGAAAAGATCTCAGACTTCAAAGTGAGTCTGACCACCTAATAGTGACATGCTACCATGTCATTCTTCTGCCATGTGCCCACTCCAGAACTTCCCTAGGTATAGCCAGATAAGTGGACATTGCTGCCCCTTCTATTGAGTACTCTACCATTCAATGCCTCCCCTATGTATGATTCTTTTTCTTTTACTCTTTGGCTCAGTCATTCCCACTTTTTCCTAAATGATATGGGTATGTTTGCCATAATCTTTTTAAAATTAAAATAAGAAAACAATACGTGATAAGCAATTGTACTGTTAAGTGAGAAATGAGGACAATGAAAATTCTTAAAATTCCCATTGTTGAAATGTAAGTAAAATTAGCATCAATAGAGAAATTTACATAGGACTCATATACAGAAGAATACATCCATACCTGCAAAGGTCAGTCTTAAAATGGAAATAACAGTAGCCTCACAGTACTGGTCAGTAAATCAGGTGACATGCCACAATGTGATTATTTTGTCATAAAATGGCCTTCAGTGGGCATTCCTATGCAGTGGAAGGAGTGTAGATGGAATCAGCCACTAGGGGGAAGTCTGACTCCTGTGTTCTGGAACACATCTAGGCAGCTGAGTGTTACATGCCACTATCTCCAGGGTATTGCAATGTCTGCTGGACATTGTGTCCTTACTCCCAAGCTCTTTACTGATAAAAATGTTTTTTTTTTTGGAGGGTGTCCGGTCGTGGGGCCTGAACTCTAGGCCTGGTCGCTGTCCCTCTGCTCTTCAGCTCAAGGCTAGCGCTCTACCACTTGAGCCACAGTGCCACTTCCGGCTTTTTTTCTTTTTGCTTATGTGGTGCTGAGGAATCGAACCCAGGGCCTCATGCATTCAAGGCAAGCGCTCTACCACTGAGCCACCTTCCCAGCCCCCTGATAAAAGTTTTAAGGTACCACAACATTGTCAATTTCTCTGGACTCTTAAAGGCTTTTTTTGCCCCTCTGGCTCTTAAAGACTAGTGATACTGGAAATTGCTATACCTTAAGAAGTGAAGCCTAGAATGAGATCTTTATGGTCATTATGGCTTGAAGAGGGTAATTGGGTACTAGCCTCCTCTTGTCCATCTTTTCCACTCCTGATCATAAGGTGAAAGAACCACCTTTCCCATATTCTCCTACCATGAAGTATGATGTCTCCACAGGCTCAAAGTAATGGGGCCAACTATTAGCTGAAACCTCTAAAATTGTGAGCCAAAATATACCTTCCTCTCTATAAATTGATTTATCTCAGATATTTGGGCCAGTAATGGAAAGCTAATACTTTCTTTCTCCATATATAATATTATACATTACAGATGTTTATATATATATATGTATACATATATAATTTGGCCATATGGGAAGTTTCTTAGCCTCACAAGTAGTTTTTAAGAAGAAGGATAAAAATAATGGCCCAACTTATGGATATACCTGTTGGTATATTGATAGTAAATACAAATGATGAATGCTTCACTATAGTATCAGAGATAATCCAGAGAAATAATGGAAATGACATGCTACCAGTCAGTAGGATTTTCTATGGTTCCTATGGGTGTTCAGTTTGTGTAAACCTTATGGCTGAAGGTGTAAATCTACTGTCTTATAAGGAATTGTCAAATGACTGGCATATCAGAAGAGTTGGAGGGAAAAAAAGTGGAAAATTAATGATGAGAAGATTTGGGGAATAAGTTTATAAATCAATAATTCATGAAGAATATAGATAGTAAAGATATTTTTGTTTCATGATATAATGATTTACTATAGCATAACAAATAACTTACCCTTTACCAAATACCTATTCATTATTTTATGAGCATGCATGTCAGAAGTTTGGCAAGACAATTTCATTCTCTGCTCAAAGTATCATCAGATTCAAGATGTCAAGCAGAACATATTGTCATGTGGAGGCTTCCTGAAGCCTGACGTATATCTACTTTTAAGATCATTCACGTTATTTTCACAAGTCAGTTCCCTGAAGTTATAGGATTTAACAGACATTATTTTGCTGGTTTTGGAAACTAGAGGCTATTTGCATTCCTTATTATGTAGCTATTTTTAATAGTCACTGGATAAAGACAATAATGATGCTCATAATTCTAATCTCTCTCTTTCTCTCTGAGACTCTATTTTTAAGGATGATATCATGAGGATGATATCAGAAGTACCCACATTACTCACATAATGTTCTTGTTAAGATCAAGATAATTTAAGACTTTAGCCTTAGCTATAGCTGAGAAGTCTCTTCATAGCAACATCTAGAAGGATAATTGGTGATTAGAAGGTATGTATATACAATGGGCCAGTAATTTGGGGGAAAGACATTTTAGGATTCTATCTGTCACAGTCTACCTTTTGGTCTACTAAATTTATGTCATTCACAAAACACCTCCCACTTTTCCCAAGACTCCCAATAGTTTCACCCATTAACAACAGCATCTTAAAACTTAAAATATCATCATCTGAATAATCTAAACCTAATGTGTATAAGACACTTATGCATAATCCATTAAACAATGCTGCTGAAAGCACCATTCCTGTAAAAATTATTCCCACAAAACTGCCAATGTGTGATGATTACACAGACACAACAGTTATAGACAAATTGTAAAATAGAAGAAAAAGGGGATAACTGGTTCAAAATGTGCATTTCCTGGGTTTAAAGACCTAAGAGTAATCCTCTACGGCTGTCTGTTTCTCTATCTGTTTTGCCTCTGTCTTCTGAAGTCTCACCTTTGAACTCTCTGACTATTGTTTTTTTCACTAAATATATTTTTTGTCGGTCCTGGGGCTTGAACTCTGGGCTTGGGCGCTGTCCTTGCACTCTTCAGCTCAAGGCGAGCACTCTACCGCTTGAGCCACAGGGCCACTTCCAGATTTCTAGTGGTTTATTGGAGATAAGAGTCTCAATGGACTTTCCTGCCTGGGCTGGTTTTGAACCGTGACCCTCATATCTCAGCCTCCTGAGTAGCTAGGATTACAGGTGTGAGCCACTGGTGCCAGTCACTCACTAAACATTTTGAGGCTTTTTCCACCAGAAGAATTTGAGAATCTGATGTCTTCCTTTCATTTTGTGCTCTTATCTCTTTCATTCCAAGCTGGCAGTATTTCTGTAGATGCAATTTTAAGAATCTTGTAAATAATATTTAAATTGCCCTGGATTTTACTCCACTGGAGAAAATCCAATCTTACAAATATTTTTGAGGTCATTTTTATTTTTGGTCCTTGCCGAGGTGTCTGAGTGTGGCTGCTCCAGGTACAAAAGGCTGTGCACATTCCTTGCTATATGGTATATTGCATCTGAAAGGTGACAGTGACACATTATATCTTTGTGCTTTGAATCTCTGGTTTCTCTTTCACCTATTACTGCAAACCAATTGAGTGTGGTGGCCCATACCTGCAATTCCAAACCCAGGGAGCTAAGGAAGGCAGATTGAAAGTTCAAGGCCAGCTTGGCCTACACAGAAAGACCTTATCTCCAACAAGCAAACAAATATACATACATGCAAAATCCCCAAAGGTATTCTGTCCACCAGGTGAAAGGTCCATTCACATACTTCTCCAGACTTCTTTTGTCATCAATTTCCAAGTTTGTAATTTCTTTTTTTTTTTTTTCTGTATGTGTGTGCCAGTACTGGGGCTTGAACTTGGGGCCTGGGCACTATCCTTGAGCTTGTTTGGTGAAGGCTAGTGCTCTAACACTTGAGCCACAACTCTACATCTATCTTTTGGTACTTAACTGGAGATAAGAGTTTTATGGACTTTTCTTGCCCAGGTTAGCTTTGAACCACAATCCTCAGATCTCAGCCTCCCGAGTAGCTAGGATAACAGTCATCAGACACCAATGTCTGGCTCAAGTTTGTTATTTCTAAATCTCAGAAAATCCAGATAACCAAATAGCCATTGCAAATAAGATATATCATCTAAATTTCTGCCAGTTGGAAAGATTTCCATTTCCCAGTCTTCCAGGCTTACCCCTTTGATGAAGTTGTAGTATAGTAGGTTCCCTCTTCCTCTTGCAGGAGGCTCAATATGCTACACATCTATTTATAAATGCAATCCACATTTTTCCTACTTGAGTCACAAGGAATGTCTCATTAGGCCACAAATGTGGGTTGGTAGAGGGGTGGCTAAAGAGTAGGAGATGGTTCCTTTAGAGTCTGAGCACCCTGCTGTGCTATTTTCTGTGACTTGTAGTCACGCATACATTCACTCAGCTATTCATAATTCTCACCTTTAAGTAGCATGCTGCTGTGTACATCTAATCTTATAATTTGATTGATCAGTTCAGAAATAAGCATCTCAGGCTTCATAGTTTCTTGGAATTCTGTGCTTGACTCTTTGTTCTTGCTCATTACCTGGCAGTTACTTTTCCAGTAGAGATCAACCTTATTCTCTCATTTCCATAAGCTCCTGAATCTGTTTTTGGTTATAATATAGTTTGGTGTGTTCAGAAATTAGTACCTGACAGGCTGTCTGATTATCTTATTTTTGAATTTAGTTTTGAATTTTACATGCACCTCATTGCATGCCACTAATGGCGTTTGAGTAACTGCAAGTCTAAATACATGAACTCTTAATATTTGCCTTCTCCACTCTCCTGATCTCAATTGTAAGATTATTCTTTTCCTCCTCAAATAAATAAGCAACACAACTCTTGAGGTGCAA